TAAAGGTAAATTTTTAAAAAATCAGAAAAAAAATTAAATCTGTTACCAAAATTTAAAGAAAAACTATTTGACCACAATAAGCTATATAGCCCCAGCTAGGTACTATTTTATAGTATGTTCATTCTACTCACTGAGGTTTATGCCTAAAGTCCGACATGGGTTCTTATGTATGTATATATCAGCTGTGCTTGCTATTGCAAATATTTAGACAAATAAGTTCATTAGCAAATCAATTAAATGGCGGGGGGGGGGCATAGAAAGCAATCATGGATACCCCAGATAATGGGGGGGGGGAGGGAATCAAGGATGACAAAAAAAAAGGCAAAATATACAAGACATAAAAAATGAAAAATTGTTAACAGGTATGTTGATGTGCTTGATTGAGCCAACAGTGTATTTTGGATGAAAAATTCAGTTTCTATACTGTAATGATGTATAGCATATTAGTGTTAAAAATTTTTTTTTAAATTTTTTAAAAAATACCTATTGAGAACATTGGTAGGGCTTTCATTTTGTAGAAGTGAAATAAAAAATTACAGAAAATAGCCGAGAAACTACTTTGAGTCTCAAACTTACTTAACTTTATAGGTATTCTCCAAATGATGTATTACTTTGATATTATCTACATTTCTAGGTTAAATGTTCCAGACCAGAAAACATTAAGATGTAAGCAATGCTTTGAATTTATCAAGGAGGAACATCTGTTTTCATCCTCTTTTGCCAGTTATTCTCCCTGGTCCCCAGCTTTTGAGGAAAATAACAAATGTTGCCTAACCTATAATAGTATAGAATCTTATTCACTAACATTGAGAAGTCAGCTTACGCCATTTAAAAACATTGTGGGGTGGGGGCAGCAGGTGGTGGTGCTGTGGAGGTTTAGGCACTGGATCTGAGGTGCCTAACATCCAAGACTGGCAGTTGAAGATCACACCAGGATTATGCACATGCATGTTCAGATTCTTGAGAGGAAACTGGAGAAGTGACTACAGCAAGGCCATCCCTTTCAGGGGGCACATTCTCACTTTCCCTCTCTGGCAAGCATCCATGCTCTATAGCCAAAAAGAAGAAAAGGCAGTACAACAGGGCACAGGTGGTGGTGCAGCAGTAAACCACACTCATGAGGCTGATCCACATGCGAAGGTTCTGGGTACATGTCCAGAAATTCCCTAAACATGCCGGCTTAGGCGATGTGTACCTAGGATCCAGGATTGGCTGAAACTGGGGATTGACAGCAATGTGGAGCCCCTGTAGAGAGGGCTATCTCTGTTTTTCTCCCTCTGTGTGTTTGTCTCTCTCATGGAAGAAATAAACTTTTTTTTTAATGATAAATGCATTTCATTATTTATTTAGATATTTAAGCTCTCGCACTAAGTTTTTACAAGCTGGTGAACACTTAAATTATTTCTCCCACAGAACTATAACCACACATTCCCAGAGAGTATAAATATATGGTTGAACTAACATTAATACACATCACCATTTTATCAATTACATAATAAAACAAATTATCAAGTATCCAAATATTAAGTTACACAGCTCAAAAGGCATATAAAATATTAGATATCTGCTTGAATCATTAGCAGAAACCTAAGTTTTGTTGTGTGTTTTTTTTGCGCAAGAGGTTGGAAAGAAAAATCACTTCAAACAACAGTTGGTAAACTTCCATTAAGTATGGAACAAAATAATTTCAGAAATTTTATGATTAAGAATTGTTTTAACTACAACAAAGCATTTCTACCTTTAAAAAAATATTTACTAAATTAGAGCATATTCTACATGTTCTGCACAAGACAAAGGCAGCATTTTACTAAAAATATTTAATAGCCCCCTCCCATTCTTTTTTCAGGCCCTTCCTGTTAAGCTGCGGCTTTTTTTTTTTTTGGTCTGAGACATTAAAGACATGTGCTTCTATACAATGTAGATTTTCAAAATGGAGGTTTTTCATAACAGCACAAAATGAAATTTAAAAAGACATAAAATTATCACTATAACACTTGGTAAAAACTAAAAGAAATTGTTAAAGCAAACCTGATGTGTACTGGTATGAATGTGGGAGATGTAAACAGAGCAGGCAAATAACCACACAGGTCCTACTCGAAATGTTTGAAATGACTAAAGGAATAAGCCATACAAGGTCTAAAGTGTTTGTAGTTCCTGGGACTTTAGCTCTGTATGATACTAAAAATATACAAGTATTGTGCTGGGTCTTTTGGCACCTAATCTTTCTAAATTTCTTATATATTGATAAGACTCTGGCATGGGAATAGATTTAAAGACATAACTCAATACCGCATGATTTCAGGAAAGGTCAATTGGTACAAATAATAAGCACATTTTAAATGCTCAACAGCAAGAATCTTTTGTTAAGTGTCCAAATAGGTTGATTATAACCTTAAGATAGAGGTTGTAATTCTGTCAAGCTTTGCAGCCTGGTAAAACTGCTTTTTCAATACTCCCATGGAAGCTTCATTAGACTTTTTCACCAAGCCAACACGTTGGCTAATACGTATGACAAATCCGGTCCTGTCTCAAGTTCCACTTCCAAGGGAATAGCATCAAGCCCTGCAGTTTTATTGAACGCAACAGTTGTTTCTATGACCATTGGAGTCTTTGAAGCGCAGCCGCATTTTAGGACGATACTTCTCCAAATATAAAAGTTGCTTGCTGTTAAAAGCTCCACGTCGCTTTTGTCTTATGAATTGTACTGCATCTTCATATTTCATTCCACCTTCAATTAATGCTAGGGCAACTAGCACTGGAGCTCTCCCAAGGCCTGTGACACAATGAACAGCAATACGACAACCAGGTTCTTCACGAAACTTAATTTTTACAAGATGTAACCAGTCATCAACAATCTGGTTGGATGGTGGTGCACCATCATCAAAAGGCCAATCGAGAACATGGATGCCTTCTTTCTCCACAAGTGTTGTGTCATAAGTTGCTTCACATACTCTTACTATTGTGGTAACTCCATACTTCTTAAGTTCCTCTATAAATTTGTTTAAGGTCGCATTGGTTGGATTGTGTGTAATAAGAAATCTCATGTTCTTGTATGTGACTTCTACCGGGGTTGGACAGTTCATTCGAGTCATGTTAATTTAGTTAAAAAACATTCTATAGGGTTATGAGAGAATTTTAAAAACTGAATACAGAAATGATGCAAAGAAATTGAAGTCTGGTTCTATATACTCCACTCGAAATTCTCAGTGCTTTGAGTATGAAGTTGACAGTAATGAGAAATGAAATGAACCTCCTAACAAGCAGCAGCAATTCTTCAATCCAGTAATACTGAGGCAATGGAAAGGAAGTGCACTGAGGTTTACCCCATCCAGGTCAGAACTCTTGTAAAATGCTCTGCAGATCTCAATTCAACTTCTGTGTCCAGGTTAAGCACGCTTAGGGGGGCTTCTTGGTGGAGTAGTAATCAATTTCTACAGTTCACTTGTCTGCAGAGAGATCATGCTGTGCCTGGCAGTAATCTCCACTGCCCTTCAGAAACTCCATAAATGTGTGACCAAGAACACCACAAAACTGAGGAATATGTTTACTCATTGAAGATTGTGGCCTAATCATATAGGCGGTCCCGAGGAGGCGGTGACACTGGCGGCAGTGGTGGCGGTGGCTGCAGGGCAGGGGGTGGCGGTGGTCGTCGCGGGGCGGCAATGCAGCAAGAAATAAACTTTAAAGGAAAAAGAAATATTACAAATGCGACGTTCTACAGTAAGAAGGCTGCAGCCTCAGATAACTCAGTCATGGCAGAGGATTAGCAATTTTGATTTGCCACAAGATAAATGCTGAGATCTGCTAGGCCAAAGGGGGGGAGGAGATCTCCCCAGAGTGGGAGCGACAGTGGATTTTGGAAAGATCACACACACAGACACAAAATTAGAGAAAAGCGGGTATCGGGAGGACCAGACATCTGATGGAGAAGGCTGTGACCCTGAGCCTTTTCCAGGTTTACTGTTTTATAAGGCAATGGGGACGGGAGAAGCGGAAGGTAAAGCTAGGTGTCTTCTATTAGCAACTGCAGCTACGGAGCATCTAACGTCCCTTGGTCTAAATACATTAGCCCCACCTGGCCTTCTCTGGCAGAAACAGTTTTAACCTCCACTGGCTGTGCAGAGTTGGACCAAGTGAGAGACTAGTCTGCTCGTCTTTAAAGGTCACTATTATTTAGCTTGGATTCAGCCACTCCCTACAGAGAAACATTAAAACACACACACACACACACACACACACACACACGGGACACTTTAATAAGTTAGCTATAGTAGAGATGGAAATTACAGTAATACTGAGACCAGGTGCAGCTTTTATTCAAAATCAGGAAATTTGGCATTATTTCTCTCCGCTGCTACATTTTTATGAGAAGTAATTAACAAGTGTTTGATTCTTAAGACTGCTCTGGGAAGCAGACTGTCTTTGCTCAAAACTCAACTGTGCAGATAGGGGAATACCAGTCAGATAGGAGTGGCATTGTTCATAGGCATTTTCCCAGTACCAAACATTAACAAAATATTCTTTGTTTTATATTTTCGTCATAGGGTTATATATACTTGCTAGCGAGAGACAAAACTCACCACACCTGTTCACAGGCCGGTGGGAGGGGCAGGTGGCCATGTTGCAATCCCTTCTCCATTCTCAGGATTTGGGGCATGGATGCGCATGTGCCTGCCATGATTTTTAAGCTGCTGGGTCTGAAACTCAAACTGCCCAGTTGGCCATGTAGTATCCAGCACCTTAACCACCATACCACCTGCTGGCCCAACCAATTCTGTTCTCAGGCTATCAATGGTTATTGAAAATGATCTAATGTACCACAGTCCTAAAACCTGATACATGACTGTCCACAGGTGTTATGAATCATGGAAACAAACACTTGTGAAGACAGGAGCGCCTTCCTATTCAGGAAAGCCTTTCTTGAGGATTATGCATCTTATTAAAGATATCGGTCCTGTCTTGACAGGTGACATAGCTGTTCACTTTCAGGTATGTTCATTTCTATTTTTCAGTTAGGGTAGTGATTAAACATTAATAATAGGCCACAAGAGATTGAGTGTCCTTAAGTCTCATTTTCCTTTAGGGGGTTCCATTTGAGTTACTAAAATTTCTAGTCATTTTATGTAGCATGCAACACAGACCAACAACAATCATATTGCCTGAGATTCTAAAACAAATTGACACTGCTCGGTCATGGAACAGAATGTTTTGTATCAAATCAAAAGTGGTAAGCTAAATTCTCCAAAAGACTTGCATTCTTGTACTGGGGAGTAGGGTGGGGTGGGGAAGGCAAGAATGACTTGGTCAAATGTGCACATCGACACCGGGTGATGCGGCAGCCTCCACAGCCTCGCCAATGTAACCCTGGAGAGGGAGCAGAACTGTGTTCACAGATGAGCAAGATTCCTCTTTTGTAAGAGACCATTCAGGCTGAGGTACATTTTTAGTACGTTAAGAGGTGTTTTTGATAAATCTGTAGCTCAGATCTATAGCTCATGTTCACTTTGTACAAGTACAAAATTAGGCAAGTTAAATCAGAACCAAAGAAAAGGACTGTGCAGGCAATCATCAAAAGCCAGAAGCTGGGGTAGTCCCTTCAGGGCCAGCAGCTTCATTACCTGAATGCAGGATACTGCTGAGCAGTGAAAGGAACACAGGTGCAAAGCGTTCATCGAATTTGAAGCTGTTTTCAATCCCATGTCTTCTCAAACACTGGTTTAATATTTGATGCATGAAATTATCAGCAGTATAGCATCAACTAATTGGGAGAAAATACTTAAATACTAAGATGTTCTGTGTAATAGATGCTCTGGCGTGCAGTGGGCTCACAAAAAGCCAGTGCCCTGTTGTTAACTTCCAAGCTATCGTGCATTCCCTTAACAGGAATTCTGAAGATGAATTCTATGTAAGTTCAAATTCACAACCCACCTTTTATTGGCTGTGTGATTTGGGCTAGTTATTTAACTTATCCATGCCTGAATTTCCTCATCTGTGAAATGTTGGTAACAGAACCTACCTCCTATGTACATGTCTGAATTGTTAATATATGTAAAGCATTTTGAATGTATGTAGTAAGCACATAGTGTAATTTTTTCACCCATAATTAAGGATTACTTGGATCTTAACAAAGCAGTTGAAGGCTAGAATGAGCAATACAAATAGACTGTTATTGAGGCCTAAAACTGAACACTAAGGAAGTGGTAGAACATAAAGGATAGATAAACGACTTGGTTTAGAGGATGAGATGGGACATTCTAAATGACTGGGAAAAGCAGGGTTGAACATGATTTCTAAAGAACATAGCCTAACTGGAGTGACCCAGTCAGGTTGTGAGAGCACCCCATCCACATAAGATGGCGATGGTTGATGGGAGCCTTGAGTGCCACACTGGATGAGATCAGGCTCTGACAGGAACCCATTGTTGTCTTCCCAGGGAATGGTCTAGAAGTAGTACTAGTTCCTCAAAAACAGGATAGAATGTTAGGAAAGAGTCTGGAATCAGACAGCTCAGGTCTAAGGCACTGAGGCCCATCCACGAATGGGAAGGTAAAGTTCTAGACCAGGCGATACATGAGTAGAGGAGAAAGCAACTGCTAAGGAAAAAGTCATTAAGTGATTAGATGTAGGGAACAAAGGAAAGGAGAGGCAAAGATGTCTCCAGAATCTAGGATGCCTCCACCAACTTGGTAGGGCACACTCCTGCAGAGTACAGTGGGAGTTTGGGAGCTGGTCTTGCCCTTTGTATCTAACGGTTTCTGAATCATCACTTATGAAACAGTGAAAAAGGAGGCGTCAAGACTTCTGAGTACTACAGAGAAATTTCTGGGCTTCAGGGTACTACTTGGTACAACTGACTGTAAGGATTAACAGCTCATGAGGGCCAATACTGAGGCAGAAATGAGCCACATATGAGCCTTGAGTGGGTCAGGATATAAAGTTTTGATGCCATTAAATACCATTTCCTTGGTGTGGACTTTACTGCCCATTAAATGCCTAATTACCTCAATAATTGGAGCAAGTATTATATCATGTTTTATAATATTCACAAACTTAATCCCATTTTTAAGTACTTAGAATATATTTGGGAGTCTTAGTATTGCCTATTCTTAGTTCTGGAAACATAATGAAATAGGAAGAACCTTAACTACAATCTAAATTCTTCCAGTAACCAGCTTACCTGTTTGGGTTCCAAGTTCTTCAAAAAAGTGAGGTCTTAACTATCTAATCAATGTGAGGTTTTTAGTAACTTGTGTTCCTTGACTAGAAGATACTCTAAAGGTATGCTTGTCCTGCAAATGGTTTGCTCTGGCTAGATACTGGCTAAAGATAATTTACCCTCCTATGTTCTCCACCTGATTCCCATAGCGTAGTAGGAGTTGCTACAAACCATTTGTTCATGATGACCTCCAAATGCCTTTTTTTTTTAAATGTCACTGGTATTATCAGTTTGTGCCCCTCTTTCTGATTTTATTCTCTGACCCACCATTCTAACTGCATCACCCAGGCTCCTGGCCAGTAGGAAACATCAGTTGGAGACAAGAAGATGGGAGCTGAAGAGGGGTGGGGATATTTGTCTTGAGTCCTCCTATCTTGCTGTGGAATAGATGCATCCTTCCCCATCTACGGCTCTTATTATGAACCTCTACCATGGCTGGCAGGGCCAGCAGGTGGCATGGTGGTTAGGGTGTTGTATTCCCACATGATCAGCTGCAAGTCCTGGACCTGGTGGCTTGAAAATCGCACCAGGTTCATGTGTATACGTGTCCAAAATCCCAAGAAGAGAGTGGAAAGGGGTTGTGGCATGGCCATCCTGCCTGGGGGGTGATTTCTCACATTCCCTCTCTCTGTCTCTTTGGTGAGCACATGTGCCCAATAATGGAGTATTTTTTTTTGTTTCCTAAAGGGGAGGGATTATCTTAAACACGGTCTCCCTCCTGAAATCCTGCCTTCAGCCCTACATTCAACCAGGTATATTTAAGAAGATTCGGGACTCAAATTCACAGCCTTCCATATGGCCTCCAGCATCGCACAGCAGTGCCCCTACTGCCTGTGCCACTGATGCTGGGCCAGATAAAACATTTTTCTTCATCCT